AACGTATTGCAATGCACCAATGATACTACGGAATAGCTTTGAGTCGGCAGCGACTGATCCATCATTTAGTTTGAGAGGAGTAGTCATACATAATGGTGTGTTAACGGTCTTTGCTCCAGCCATATTGAACTTATCCAAGAGTTCTCGAATATAACCATGTTGAGATAATAATATACCCTCCTTGGTTGGGATCATTTCAATGCCAAGAAAATAATGAGGGAAACCAAGTTGTTTGAGCGAAAACTTGTTGGAAAGTTTTGTCATGAAGTGAGTTAAAAAGGTAGTATCACTGCCCGTCAAAAGTAAGTCATCAACATATACTAATAAGAAAGCTTGTACACCATGTTTATTGTAAATAAACAAGGATGAATCACTTAGGCTTGTTTGAAACCCGGTAGAAAGAACAAAGGCCTTGAGAGAATCATGCCATGCTCGAGGTGCTTGTCGTAAGCCATAAATAGCTTTCTTGAGTTTACATACATGTTGAGGAAATTCGGAATGAATAAACCTGGGTGGCTGTTGCATGTAGACATCTTCAGTCAATTTTCCCTGCAAAAAGGCATTATTAACATCCATTTGGTGTAAGGACCACCCTTGAGAAAGTGCTAAAGTGAGAACCACTTTAATAGTTTGAGGTTTCACAACCGGTGCGAATGTTTCCTTAAAATCAAGACCAGGTGTTTGAGTGAATCCTTTTGCAACCAACCTTGCTTTATATCGTGCCACACTCCCATCAGGATTTCTTTTGATGCGAAACAACCATTTACAGCCAACTAAATTAGTATGAACCTGACGGGGAACCAAGGTCCAAGTACCATTATTCATGAGTGCATTAAATTCAGCCGAACAAGCATCTCTCCAATGTGGTATTTTAAGTGCTTGAGTGATAGTAGATGGCTCAATATTTTCCTGCAAGTCATGTTTAGAGGCAATAAATAGTTTCTTGGGTTTGAATATATTATTTTGTGACCTTGTCACGATAGGAGCACGTTGAACCGAATTATTTGTCATTGAAGTTGGAACCAGATCAGATGCAGTGTTGGTGATAGAGCTGGTTAAGTTATCACTAGTCACTGGTATCTCTGTTGTTATAGACGACTCGATAGGTTGCATTGACTCAAGGACTGGTGGAGGACTTGATACCGGATCTGTTGTGGGACTCGATACCGGGATTGATGGCTCAGGGGTGGATGACTCATGTGCTAGGGACTGGTTTGGTTCTTGAACTGAATTTTGATCTTGGGGAATAATACTGTGTACCGAAGAGTCATGTGATGGAATTGGAGGACAAGTAGATGACGAATTAATTAGAGATTGATATGGGAATGAGTTTTCCACAAAGTGGACATGTCTAGATACATATATCCTATTTGACACAGGTTCAAGACAAAAATATGCATACTGAGACGTTGAATAGCCTAGGAAGATGCAAGGTTTAGACCTGGGTTGGAGCTTATTTTGCATATATGGTTTCAGCCAAGGAAAGCACAAACAGCCAAATGAATGAAGTGTATGATAAGTTGGTTTGCTTTTAAACAATATTTCAAAGGGAGAGATCATATTAATGATTGGTTTAGGCATCCTGCTAATAAGATACACAGCAGTGGTGAAAGCAAATGACCATAGTTGGGAGGGTAAATTAGCATGATGCAAAAGAGCACGACCCGTTTCAACATGTCTGTGTCTCCTCTCTGCTGTGCCATTTACCTCAGGTGTGTGAGGTGGTGAAGTTAAATGAGAAATGCCATTATTGGCAAGAAAAGATTTTAATTTGATAAATTCTCCATCGTTATCAGTGAAAAGAGAAACAATCGGAAAATTAAAGGATTTTTCAACAATGGACTTGAATTGAACAAAAATAGAGAATACATCTGACTTATGTTTCATTGGGTACAACCAGACATATTTGGAAAAATGATCAACAATGATTAAATAATATAAAAAACCATCTACTGATCTAACAGGAGTTGGGCCCCAAACATCAGAGTACAAAAGTTCCAAAGGTTTGCTGCTTGTGAGATGATGATTTGAAAAAGGAAGCTTGTGGCTTTTTGCACAGCGACAAGAAGTACACTCATGTGAGGCCGGAAGCTTTATTGGTAGATGATGATTGTCAGTCAGATGCTTTATTATTTTGAAAGAATGATGTCCTAATTTATGATGTCATGTAGATGTAGAATGAATGCTTGTATGTAATGCTTACGATGGACTGGATGAACGAAATGCATTGGATAGATGATAAAGATCATGTTTAAGTGGTCCTTGAAGCAGTGGTTGACCTGAGGTCAAGTCCTTGACAACAAAATGATTTGCAAAAAATTCAACAAAACAACTATTAGATTGACATAACTTGAAGACAAATAAAAGGTTATATTGAATTTTAGGAACACATAAGACTTGTTTAAGATGAAGAGGTTTGACAGAAGTATTAATAACAGAGTTACCAGTGTGAGTAATTTTCAAACCTGTTCCATCACCAACAATCACCCGATCTGCTCCAGGATAGGAATTTGTTAAGGTAAGTTGTTGTAGGTCCTGAGCAATATGATGAGATGCTCCTGTATCCATGACCCAGTTACCATGTTGTGTTGCAGCCTGATTTTGAGCAAAGTTCGCTGTTGGTTTAGGGCCGTTTCATTTAGGAAATCCCTTAATCTTGTAGCAAAGCTTAGCAGTGTGACCTGCCTTGTCGCAAAACTGACAGACCACCTTATTTTCGCCATTCTGCAAAGTTGGTGAAGGGCTGCGGTTATTGTTGTTTTTGTGGTGATAGTTTTTTGTTCTTGTGGCTGCATTGGCAGTGGCAGTCACATTGTCAACTGCAAGTGGATCAGCTTGATGATGAATTGTTTCAAAATCCATCAGTTTTTCATGAAGTTCAGCAAATGCAACAGGACTTTCTCTGCTTCTAAGTGCAGCGGAAATTTCACGATACTCAGCACTCAAACCATTGAGAGTGTGAATAACAAGATCAGTTTCATCAAGGGGATGATCGATGATTGAGAGTTCATTCGAAATTGCCTTTATCCCTTGTAGATATGTAGCCATCGATTGATTTCCTTTTTTGAAATTGGAAATCCGTTGTTTGAGCGCAATAATCCGCACTCTTGAGCGGCCCGCATACATGGTTTTAAGGATCTCCCATGCTTGATTGGAACTTTTGACAGATCCTAAGTGTGTGACCACTGTTGCAGCCACCGAAGATACAATACCATGTAGAATGAGTTGATCTTGTCGAACCCAATTCGTGAAGGCTGGATTGACAACGGCGGTATCGTTTGCGAGCTGTTTTGATGGACAAGGCTTAGTTCCATCAATATAACCTAGAAGATCATAGCCTGTTAAAAGAGCCATGAATTGAATTCTCCAGGCAGGATAATTGTTTCCATCAAGTTTAATGGAGAGTTGAGAACCAGCATTCAAGACAATAAGTTTGTCGGCTGGTGATGACATAGTGGGCGTCGGTTCAGGTTCAGAAGGCATAACACGGATCGGAAAAAAATTTGCTTTTAAGCTTTACGCTCTGAATACCATAAAGGGAATGATTCTTTTATATATTATCCAGCCATAAGTGCTGAGTATTTATAGATACAAATAATACTTGAGTGTATAACTAATTCATAATCCTAAGGAAACCCTATTGGTGATTCCTAGTATTAAGCAATGAATAATTCAAACTATACCAACTCATATGCATAGTAATAGGAATGGTTGGTTACACTTAATTATTGGAACAACTTATTCTTATCTATTATTACGGTGTTTATTGTAAAATTTGTTAGTCTTTTCACTTGGAATTTCGTTATGGTCTTTAAAATGAAATTGTGAAGTTTTTTAATTTTGAACTTTTGTTATAGTTTTTCAGAGCGAAACTTGAGAGTTTTTTAACTTTGAAATTTTGTTATGGTTTATAGAGTAAAATCAGTTAGTTTTTTAACTTTGAACTCTTGTAATGGTCTTTATATTCAAATTTGTGAGTTTTTTTAACTTGGAATATTTATTATGGTTTTTATAATGAAATTGTTGACTTTTTTGACTTGGAAATTATGTTATGGTTTTTAAAGTGAAATCGGTGAGTTTTTTAACATTAAACTTTTAGTAGGGTTTATATAGTTAAATTATTTAATTTTTTAACTTTGAACTTTTATTAAGGTTTTTAGAGTGAAATTGGCGAATTTTTGAACTTTAAACTTTTGTTAGGGTGTTTATAGTAAAATTTGTGTTTTTTGACTTGGAATTTTGTTATGATTTTTATAATGGAAATGGTGAGTTTTGTAACATTGAATTTTTGTTATGATTTTTATAGTGAAATTATTAAATTTTTAACTTAACTTTTCTTATGATGTTTATAGTGAAATTATTAAGTTTTTTAACTTTGAACTTATGTTATGATAATCATTTTTTAAATTTTTTTTTGTGTACAAGAAGACTTTGTAAAAGAGTTCCGGAGTCAATTTTTATGTACGGAAGACTTTGCAAGAGAGATTTTTTAAACTTTTTTGTGTATAAGAAGACTTTGTAAAAGAGTTTCGGTAGTCAATTTTTGTGTACCGAAAGACTTTGTAAAAGAGTTTCGGTAGTCATTTTTTAAAATATTTTTTAATTTTTATTGTGTATCGAAAGATTTTGCAAAAGAGTTTTAGTAGTTAATTTTTGTGTACGGAAGACTTTACAAAAGAGTTCCGGTAATGATTTTTTAGAACACATTTTAATTTTATTTTGTGTACCGGAACTCTTTTGCAAAGTCTTCCGGTACGTAAAATAAAATTTTAAAAATATTTAAAAAATAAAATAATAAATTAGTTAAAAATATACAAAAGTAAAATTGATATTTCATATAAAATGTAGTGATATAGAGATAAAAGTAAAGGTATGAGGTAAAATTTTCTACAAAAGACAATCGTAATACAAACAGTCAAAGTACCGTAGTAGCTATAAGTTTTCCAAATTAATTTTAGAATTCTACAACAGGAGAAAAATCCCGCACATCTAAAAGCAGCTCAAATTTCATCCTCTTCAAATGGATCTCGTTCAGGGTAGTCACCAATCTGGAAAGAATTTATAGAGATAAGAATCAGTGTTTATGACAAATTATCAGATATGAAATTAAAGATACATTTTCCCACTTTTTAAATAGAACCTATTAAAATTTCCCCTACACCTTATTTTATTTCATCTCAATGAGGCTGATGCTGCTACTGCTAGTTCCAAAAGCTTAATTGCTCAAAGATGAACTCAACATGACGGCATTTTCAAAACATACATGAAAGGAAAAGATCAACTGTCTAATCTAAAGACCAAATCACAACATGCAATGAATTATCTGTCAGACTTTATCCTTAATCTCTTAAATCACAGTGCTTGGTTTCATTATTGGTCTGTTACTTCCCATTTACATGTTTTGAACTAAAATGCTTGGCATAGGCTTCAGCTTCCAATGCTGAAGGACAATGTGCATCAAAGCAACAGAATTTGTTGCATCTTACAAATATCGCTGATGTCCTTGTGCCAGAAACATTGAAAAATGACAACTACATTTTTTTTATACCACGGAAAATCAGCCAGTTGGATTAAAGCTATAACAAATGATAAAATATGTTTTAGTGTGTGCAGTTAGCAAGAAAAAGCAGTAAGGCACAATATTAGATTTGGGATAAGTGCGCACTTTTGGACTCAAGTATGAAATTACTTCTCTTAGTCATTTTGCGTTCTATTCATGTGTTAAGGATGATTCCTTGTCTTCGCTTATTTTCCTTTTAATTTTATAAAGCAAAGAAAAGATGCACCATGAATGAAAAATATCCCAATACTAAAGGACTACTACAACATGGTTTCAAACAAACCTTCATTTTCTCCGGCCTAACTATTCCCCCGTGAGATGGAGGACATTGGAAGTAACGTACTCCTTTGACCCTGTAACATAACCAAGGGAAATTTTGAGATAAATGTAGGCATAATTAATGTTTTTAAATTCAAAAAATGACATAATAGCTAAGCAGGAATTTACATGATGAATTAGTCATGAGTTGATTGTATTGCATATCAGATGGAAAGACGGTAAAATCACTTACATGCCATCATGTTTGCCCAAGGGTTCATCATACTGAACTCCGACCCAGAAACCAGGACCCAGTGGTTCAGCCCGACCAACAAATTTTACAACACCCCTTTTTGCCCCAGGCTCAACTTCACATCTTGATCCTACCTTAATATTTTGGAAATTGGAGAGAGGGCAATAACAACATAGCAATTCAAAGAGATTCAATTCATAAATTTTCAGACTAATTGATCAACATTACAATAATATATGGAAAATGGAATATACTAGTATATCCCTTTTACAACAAAGCAAAACTGCTAAAACGCATGAACCATAACTAAAAGAACCGGAGAAAATCACACAAGATTGAAGGATCCGAAAAATAAGAACCATTCACAATAATGCATCTAATAAATTTTCAAGTAACTGATGCTACCGTAAAATGCTATAAAATAATAGCATATCATTAGTCAAACCCATTTGTTATATGACTAGCAATTGATACTTGATACAAATTGATATTTGAAAAGACATTATACCGTAACCGCTAAAAACATTCACTTTCATACTTGAAAAATATTATACCGAAACCGCTAATAACATTCAGATTCATACAGGCTACACAGTGCAAGTCATTTTCATCCAAACTCCATATTCAAGTTAATCTCCCTCTAAATCTTGTTCTCTCAATAATGCACACATCTCTATTTAAAACCAGCTTCCATTAAAACCAAATACTCATTTCATTCATTCTTCAAGGGAGATAGGAGAAAATGGAAAACTCATGGAAAAGAAAAGATACTAATACTATACCGAAACCGCTAATAACATTCAGATTCATACAGGCTACACAGTGCAAGTCATTTTCATCCAAACTCCATATTCAAGTTAATCTCCCTCTAAATCTTGTTCTCTCAATAATGCACACATCTCTATTTAAAACCAGCTTCCATTAAAACCAAATACTCATTTCATTCATTCTTCAAGGGAGATAGGAGAAAATGGAAAACTCATGGAAAAGAAAAGATACTAATACTATAGTGAAGTTTCCTAAGCAGTTTTTAATTTTATTATAATATTTACCATTTATTCTGTTGTCCAAAAATCCTTAATTCTACTTCATCAAAACCATCTCTTTTGCTCTACTAAAGAGCAAGTTTTCACTGCAGTGGCTCATCAAAATCCTCGTGCAAAATGTAAACAAAATATCACATTTTGATGATTTCAAGGATATTCAGGTTGTCAAATCTAGTGCACTATTTCAGCTGTCTTGCCGAGCTATCCTCCTTACAGTTATCTTGCTTATTGCCCCTCGTTCATGGTTGCTCTTTCCTGGTACGGCTTTTAGATCCCATATCATATAAATGTTCTTTATGTTTTTGTTGTTAGATTTGTAAGGTTGTTCTAGAGCTTCCACACATAGTAAATACTTCACTATTTTGGAATACTTAGTCCTTGGCATGCTCTATGACCAAGTGATCCGGAACCTTATTCGCGCTGCTACTTGTTCTTTGTAAACAATTAGGTTTGATTTAAACAGAAGGTAAACTGGACTTGTGGAATGGTCTATGCTTCAAGCCCAAAAGTTCTTGCATAAGGTCATGCCCTACCCAGATATACATACAATATAAAGTAACACTTGTCCTCTTTTACTAGTCAAAGTTTCTAAGAATATTGGTCCTTGACATTTGTAAGTTAACTTGTAGATTGAGGAAGAGTATTAAAACGTAAGATTTATATTATGTTAAGTGTTCAATTATTGTAGCAGTCTTATTGGGGTAGACATGTACCTTTTTGCTACATATACATGACCAGGTTAGAATTATAAATGAAAACAATAATTTTAAGTTTGTGTTTTTCCCTTATTTATCATCAAAACTCTTATCAATCTAACTTTGCATTGACCATTGTATCTTTATTCAATTTTCATCCTTATCCACCTGAACATTATAATTTCAACAACTATACTAAAATACCCTACACAGAAGTTATACTCATAAGTAAATGGAGAATAAAGAAAATAAACACAATAACTGACAAACCTTGATATTAGCACAGAGGTCTTCCATGTCAGTATCTGGTGTCTACACAAAAAATTATAAATTAATGAAATTGTACGATACCCAAAAGCCAAAACATGAGTCCACTCAAGTAATAGACATGAGGGGGGCTAATACAGCAGGATAAATCAATCAAATGCTTACTTTTGCCTCGACGGTTGATGGAAATTGAGAAGTCAATTTCTCCTTATATTTTCTGAAAGTGTCTGCTATACCATAATGAAAACAAATATAATAAGTTAAAAAGAACCAGTAGTCCATAAACATCAATATACTCTTGATAAAACATGTTAAACAAATAAAGGTCTGTGGATAAGCCCTAAACAGATATTTTGACTGTCAGTGTAATTCTTTTATTGGCTATTTATTATTTAAAAAGGTAACATTCAGAAATAAACAAAGGGTAACAACATGATTTTACAAACTATGACTAAAATTACAATTCAAGAGCATTAAAAAACTCATGGCATCCATTAAACTAAAAGCCTATTCTGTCATAGACATACAAAAAAAACTATAATTTATCTATAAAACTTTTGTTAACATGTATCCTTAATGACAGAAAAATAGCCTCTATTACTCTTCAACCATTATTTAAAGATGAGAGGGTATTAAATGTTTTTAGGGAAGAGCACGCCCCTTACTGATAAATATTGGTTTAATTAGTTATTTTATGCCAAAATTACATCAAACACATGCCAAAATAAAAAAGTTTTCTGGGCTGGGGGGATAGAGAGACATGCCTCCTCGCTTATTAAAGGCTTCTTCAGAAATTTCATATTTTTTCACCAATGAAGTATCTTCCAGCCATCCACCCGATGTGACAGATGCTGGATCAAGATCAATGACATGCAAACGAAACCTGCCAGTCCACCGGGAATAAAAAGCAAAAACACTAAAAACTAGATTCGTGAACAATAAAACCATGCATGCATGTCGACTACATCAAAAACAGTAGAAGCAAAGCAAAGGCAGATGTATAAACTAGAAAGTAACAAGCAGCTGCTGCTTCCAAGCTCAAAGTAACGATAACTAACAAAATACACAACATATTTGAGATGAACACTCCACTGAAAAACATAGTAGCAACCAACCCGGCACACACTCCAACCCAACTCACCAGGGGGGAAAGTATTTTATCGGTATATAACCGCCATACTATATAACTTATGGAAGTGTCCTCATATATACTAATACTCTTATTTCATTACTCCCCCGTCCTATAATAATTGACCTATTTGCAAAAAGAATTTGCCCCAAATAACTGCCACTTGCAATTTTCAAGTTGATATTAGTTACACTTTTTCAATTGTAATTAATATTGACACTACTCTAAATTCAATATATCCCACTTTGCATTTATGATAATGGTATGTACATTGATACTTGATGAGGGTAATGTGTTAAAGTACTTGTATCTCTCTTTCATTTATACATTTTTTTAAATTTGTGTGAAATAGTCAAATAGATCACTATTGTGGGACGGAGGAAGTATATAACAAAATAACTAGATTAAGAGTTATGCTCTCGTGCAAAGCAAGGGAGAACAAACAACCTCAACAAGAGGTTATGATGAATTTACATATGACCTACCAACATGGAAATTCCAGATTTGAACTCGAGTCAAAACTAGTGCAAACGGAAGGTCTAATCATTTGTCCAACACTCCAACCTCTAATGGCTGCGTATACTATATTATAATACACTCTCCAATCCAACTCAGCCAAATAAGTAAATAACAAGGTATTGTTTTTTGGTATATATGCTAATGCTTTGATTATATATAGTACATAATTCAAGTAACTAAAAACACACTCTGGACAAAGCAGTCAAAATATTTACTTCCTAGCTTCAAAAAAAGAAAAAGAAATATCCAATTGCAAAAGGCGTGATTTTTTTTTTTGTAAAGTATATATGCTAAGCGTGGTGAAAATAAAATATAAAGAAAAAGACTAACCCATCAAAGGGAGAATAGAAACCAAGCAGTTTGGAATTATCAGTGAGATCAGCGATTTTGTTGCGAACATCATCATATAGTTCGAGGTGCATTGAGTTGACGGAAGTACCACTTTTTTTCCACAGCTTCTCTTTCACTGCCTCCACTGTAAGCTATATGAGGAAGTTATCAAATAAAAAAATCATTTTTAAATGATCAAATAAAAAATAAATAAAGGGTACGTGAAAAAGGGTGATAGTAAAGAGGGAATACCTGAAGGGAGAAGCGAATATCAGGGTTGAAAGTTTTGAGATTAGAATGAGTAACGCGCAAAAGGACAGACTCATCCACTTCGATTTTCTGCAAGCTTGACGCCATTTACTAACTTGATTCAATAGGTGGGTGTATCCAGGCTGCTATGTCAACGAGTTAAATAATGATTAGTATTGAACTAATTCTGATAAATGAATTTAACAAATTAAAATAATAATTATAGCTCATGCTTAATAGCTGGATTAAGTGATAACACATTAAACAAAGAGACACCTTAAACAGAATTAGTTTTGATACAATGAACCATTGGATATTCAGGGAACTGATAAGGGGTTCCAAATAGAATCATACAAGCCTTATGCTTAGATTACAAGAACGCAGTGTTGTTAACTATGAAGCATGTACACGAACACGATGTCAGAAACGACACCGACATCGACACAACGCCAACATTGCTAATAATTTTTAAAAATGAACAAATTGAACATAATCACAAGTGTCTGTGTTGTGTCGCTGTTCGAGCTAGGTGGTAATGTAGTAGAATTTGAACAAACCGCTATTGTTCCACAATATGTTGATAATTATAAAATGTTCTTAAGCAGAAGCTAAAGTGACACAATAGCACTATTGAGTAGCAGAACAATAACCGTTTCGATTCAATCCATCTTCTATCTGAAATCCAAAATAATTCTATAAGATAGAGCAAGGCCATCAAAAACCAAATTCTCAATAAATTATCAATCTTATAGACCACAAAAATCACATCTTTCATCCTCAACCAAGCAATTGTAATAGTAATAGACATGGATCCATAATTCCAAACCTATAAGAAATTAACATAAGCCTAATATGTTGATAGGATAAAAAATGAAGAGAGAAAACCAACCAATGAAGTAGAAGGAGGAAGAGGCAGCAGCTTGGTTTATGTGGTATAGCCGGCAGTCAAGATGGAGTCGTAATGGTGAGCAACACGAGAGTGGGAAGTTTGAGAGAGAGAAGACGGCGCGATCTGGTTCTGGATGAAGGCGTAGAGAATGACAAGGAGGTTAACGGTGAAAATGAGAGAGTGGCGCCGGCTGAGGCAGTGGTGGGGTGAGATTCAATTCAATAGTCGGATGTTTACACTAGGGACTCGGAGTTTTTTTTAATTGAAAAAGAAATTTTTTTATATGTATTTTAATATAATATTTTATGATGTTAATATATATTTTTAAAATATAGAATATTTTTTATATTATATATATTGTTATGAAATAAGTTGAAAGAAGATAATAGAGAAGAAGAGAGAAAGATGAGTATGATGTGTATATTTTATTTCATTGGTGTATACTTAGATTGGTCATATTTATAGGACATTCTATCGAGAAGGTAATAAGTACAATTTGTTATAAATAAGGAATGAGATTATTGGGAGACAGCCATTAAATTATTCATAGGATTTAATTGAAGTACATTGACAGTGTAAAGGAATTTTACTCTGTTAATTACAGACGTTGGATGAAGAAAAAAGTTTGACTTTTATTTTAACAATTTATAAAGTAATGCAAACAGATGATGGTGATGAATTGACAGTATAAAATTTTTTTACACTGTCAGTGCATAGTAATTAATCTCTTATTCATAATAGTCATTTTGGATATTTGTTTTTTATATGCCTCGTTGAAATCTTACTAGAAAAAACTCAATGAAAAAAAATCTAGGGAAGGAAAAAGAGTACAATATCGTTTTAAGATAAATTTATTTCTCCCTCTCGGTTGAACGATCAATCTTTTGTGCTAGTTGATTAAAATTTCTACTTGGGAGTGATTTTGTGAAAAAATCTGCAAGATTAACACATGATAGGATTTGTTGGATGTTTATATCACCACTCTTCTGAAGATCATGAGTGAAAAAGAACTTTGGAGAGATGTGATTTGCTTGATATCCTTTAATGTAACCATCTTTCAATTCAGCGATGCATGCAATATTATCTTCATATATGGTCGTTGTATTTATTTTTTCAAATGACATACCACAAGTATTTTGTATGTATTGGATTAAGGATCTCAACCAAGCACATTCTCAACTTGCCTCGTGTAGTGTTAAAAATTATGCTTAATTAGATGAAGTTACTACTATTGTTTGTTTCACCGATCTCCATGAAATAGTTGTACCACCACATGTAAATAAATAACTTGTTTGTGACCTACAATTATGAGGATCTGACAAGTAACTTGCATTTGCATAGCCTGTTAATTTGAATTTGGGTACTTTGGTATAAAAGAAATTCATGTTTATTTATAGCACCCTAAAATTTGCCTCGTTGTTTCTTTATCTGAAATTCTGGTATGCCGATCTCAGATGTCCTAAGAGATGCAAAGAACATTGATCTCTGCTAAAACAGAACAAGGACAGAACATGGCCATTTTAAATTCCTTTAAAATTAACAATGTCATGACATCTGTTGTAACATCTGCAGACTGGCATAACTATTTATCTAACCATTTAAATTGTGCAGAATTGTAAATGCTGAAAGATAAATAACACAATGAATTGTTAACCCAGTTCGGTGCAACATCACCTATATCTGGGGGCTACCGAGCCAGGAAGGAAATCCATTATTAGCATAATTAATTCAGAGTTAAACTCCCAGTTTACAACTCCTCACTTAATCTCTACCCAATGTAATTTTTGCCTAGAACACACTAGACAAGAGACACCTCTCACTCCCCATAATCACAGCAGTGGTAAACAATTCAATACAAAAAGAAAGACTTGAGAAGACACTCTTCAAAGTCACGATACTTTATTTTATTTAACAGCTTCAATCAATAACAATACACTCTTGCTTAAAAGCTTCGAGTGAACACTTAATAATTAATACATAACAGCCTAAACATGTATACCATTATGCATCCAAAGATACAAAGAGGGTGACTTACAAAGTCACATACAAAAGACTCTCAAAACCCTAAACCCTTAGTTTACACTCAAGTTTTTCTTGTTGTGAATGCTTGATTTTCCTTGCTTTTGCGCCTCGTTAAATAGTAATGCAGTCTAGGTTTGGGTTGATCAAAAGTAACAGCAGGGAGAAAAGATTTCAATGTTCATAAATTGCAATAGAAATTAGGTTTAACCAAATTAATTCAATCTCCACAATTCATGGTGCTATCAAATAGGTCATAGGCGTTTCATGTTATGCTTAGCACTGCCTAGAGTCTCGCCTGAGATAACTAAGGAACTCTAGCAGGTTTCCTGAAATCTAGCCTGAGATAACTCAGGAACCATAACAGAAAAACAAACACGCGCCCTTGATGTCAGCTACCTGATGTCATAACATTCAGTATGATATCCAATACACTCTATTCTAGCTAACCAAACTTACCCTGTAGTACACTCCTGCATAATCTTCTTCATAACACTAGAAACAAATATATTAATAGTTTCCTAAAAAGTCAAAGATCCTTTTTATGAACACCAATTAAATATGCACTTTGTTCCTAATAAATCTCTTTGACCTGCACACACTGATGAGATATATCCAACAAGATCTCATCAAACCAAACCACATCTGTCAAAAGATATAAAATAGCAGCTCCTGTTGTACCAGACAAAGATGTCACGACATCTGTCTTGACATCTTGATTAAAACACATGACAGCAGTTTTATCACCACAGCAGATGGATGTCACGACATTTGTCTTGACATCTTGATTAAAACACATGACAGCAGTTTTGTCACCACAGCAGATGGATGTCACGACATCTTTCTTAACATCTTAGTTAAAACACATGACAACAGTTTTGTCACCACAACAGATGGAGATGTTATAACATCTTGCTTAACATCAGTGCAGAATCATGTTTTACCAAAATTTAGCCAATCATAGAACCATGGAAAATCATAGAATCATGGAACTAATGTAACACCCCTTTTCTATACCCCCAAATAACACAATTAAATCATTTAGACACGAATTAAAAATTCCATCAGAGTATATTTATTTCATGGTATAAAAGAAGTGTGTCACATTACTCACGAAACGACCACATGAATATTAATGTTTATAAAGAAATAATTCAAAAGGGGTAAATCTCAACTAAAAAGAAATAAACGCACGGTTCTTAAAACAAGCATATTCATGTTTTCTGTTAAAGCGGAAGACTAAAACATTGAATTACTTAAGACATGATAAAATACAAGTACACGCCATTAGGTTGTCCATAACATCAATCACAGTTTACCAAACATCATCAACTATTACATATATATATATATATATATATATATATATATATATATATATATATATATATATATATATATATATATATATATATATATATATATATATATATATATATATATATATAATATATCACAAAGATACTCTACAAGCCTAGTTACCCGATGTTACATATCAGAGCGACCGACTCAAGAGAAAAGGAGCTATACTCCAAAAGAAACCTCCAGCAATCCTAATCTGCAATGCCTCACAGAGCATCATAAAACAGCAGAAGGGTGAGAAATATTACCATAATAACAATGCATATAATTATGTATATAAACAATTATAAAATACATATATACCACATTTCTCAATCAATTCACACACTTCCATGGCTGTCCAAAAGCCCAAACCTCACAAACCGACCGATTTAATCCAAATCAGTTCCAGTAGCACAACCCACTCATCACCCGACTATACTACACCGTCTATTCCAAATTCTAACCGATAAAACTCAGTTTCTACTGATTAAATCCACTTCCGGCCTAAAATGGAAAAAATGTAGGAAACCCCCAACAAATCCAAACACACACATACATAATCATACATATTGATTAAGATAGTAAGATTTCACACCCTTACCTCGATTAATCGGAAGCTAGAAGTCGTTCTTGAGCTTTTCCAAGCTTTTCCTTCTTTTTCCTTCTACTTTCTCTTCTTCCTCCACTTTCCTTTCATGTTTTCTATCTTTCATTGTCGTTCCTCTTCCCCCATATATATATATATATGTCCCGCCCTCCTATTTCTCTCCAATATATTTCTTCTCTTAAAATATTTGTCAATTCATTTTCTCGTAAAATATCTCATCTTGACATTGGTTAGAAAACATCTGATAAA